TTACTTTTGATACTTTAAGTACATCTTGCGATAACAGAGTTTTAATGCAGGATATCGTGTTTTGCAGTAATGTGTTGGTCCTTTTACTCAAGGTCTAAATACGTCTTCCACCACTGGTTCAAATAAATGAATAAATAAAGTTTTCCCTCACCAAATGCGCGTTAACACAGTACAGCTTCACCTGAGACCAAGAGATTAATAAGTAATATGAACATTTATGAAAAGTTCACTTTTTTAAACCACACCCCACTTTTAAACATTTCTCAGTCATTAAGATGATAATACCCATTTGGAACTCACGTTTTCAGTAACTATATTTATTGTTTACTTAAAAGTATATCTGTAGCTTTAATATAACCAAAAGCTTCAACATGACAAGTGATGCATCTCTCTCTCCATGAGATACAACATATAGAAATGTGCACAAACGTTCAGTAAAAGAGGGAATTCTTGTCATTTAAAATATCTTAATTTGATAAATTATCCTTTTTTTTTTTTTTTTACTTGAAGCTAACACATGGATGCTAATAAATAGCAGATAAAAACAATGTGAGGGATTTGCAAAGATGCATTACCTTTTTTAATAAGAAATGAAAAGATTTAAATGTCACAGGTTTGACAGTTTTACCAAGACGGAGAAATAAAGACCCCGGGAGGCAACAGCTGAGTCATTGTTAGTCTTTTATTGAGGGTTGTACCCAAGTTTTACAGCTTTGTATGATGGCTGCAGGAGCCAGAGGGTTACAAACAGTAATCAGTATACGAGTACAGCCAACAGAAGACCTACTACCTACTACTCTACACCTTAGTACAGATTCTCTTAAGAGCACTAAAATCCAGAAAAATAAGAGGAAAAAAAATACAGAACAAACCAAGCAACAAAGGAAGGAGAATAAAAATATTAAATGAAACCAAACAAATAGACAGCATCAGAGGAGACATTCATTATTAGAGCACACTGGAGTTGGTTTTCTATACCTTGTAATATCAGGCGACTTTGTTTTTGTCAATTTTTATACCCATACAAATAAAGATTGTCCTTCAAAAAGTGCAGTTTCCCCCCAAAGTTTAAGATAAAATCCTTTGATGACGCTAGGAAGACATTTGAAAATAAAAAGGTACTTCCTGTTTTT